CTCTGTAATAACTTTAGATAGAGTTATGGTTCTTGTGCACTGCACTTCCCTTTATTGTGTTTGACAATTGTATGAAGTTGTTTTGAATTCCAACCAGTAGTTTTCAAGTTATGCCCCGGACAAGGAAAAGTAACAAAGGGCAATAACTCTGTAATTAGTCAAGATAGAGTTATGGTTCTTGTGCACTGCACTTCCTCTCAATGTGCTTGACCATTGTATGTAGTTATATTGAATTCCAACCATTAGTTTTCAAGTTATGCTCCGGACGTCTGGACCGACCGACCGACCGACCAACCGACCGACCACCGGGTGACTCCTATATACCCCCCCAAACTTCGTTTTTGGGGGTATAATAAACTGGACGATCCAGATTTTTTGAATTTTGTTAAATCATATGATATACTATTGTTGACTGAAACATGGAACTCCAAAACAGCAAACATTGATATTGATGGATATTACTCTTTTGTTTGTGCGAGACCAAAAACAAACCGTAGAGCGAAGCGTTTTAGTGGCGGAGTTATAATATACTATAAGGAAGAGTATCGAAATAAAATTGATCTAATAAGCTTAAATTCAAACGGTATTGTTTGGTTTAAATTAAAGAAAGAACATTTTGGGACATTTAATGACCTTTATTTTTGCACATGCTATATACCCCCTGAAGAATCTAATGTATATAAAAATGTTAGTTCTAACTTATATCAATTCGATTTTTTCGAACAGTTAAATACTGACATAAGGCACTATAGTTTTCTTGGTGACGTATTTTTGACAGGTGACCTCAATTCAAGGACAGGTCAAAAACCCGACTTCGTGCAAGATATTAATCTTGACCGTTATATCGATTTACCCGTGAATAACCAGTCCGTAATTGATATTCCTGCACGCATTTCTCAAGATAATCATGTAAATGGATTTGGTAATCGTCTGCTATCCCTTTGTAAAGAAAATGACATTATTATTGCAAATGGTCGCCTTGAGAGAGGTGAATTTACCTGTCAAAATTTGAGTAGCAAAAAAAATGCAGCTAGTGTTGTAGATTATCTCCTAACGAGTTACACTAATTTTCCTTGTATATCGAGTATGAATGTGCATAGTTTAACTGAATTTTCCGATCACTGCCCAGTATCTTTTTCTATGAATATTGAAAATAACTTTTTCTATATGACTGATATTTTTACGTATGATAAAATTGTATGGGAAAATACAGACCCAGAACAGTTGCAAACTTTATTAGAGGAAAATATATACCTTTGATGAGTTGTCACATAAACTGAACACAGGTGAAATTGATTTAAATGTATGTATAAATGAATTTTCAAAGACAGTTTATGATATATCATTTAGGTTGAATGGTCGAACCTACACAAGTCAAAAAAGAAAACATATTAAAAAGAAGAAAGCCACATGGTTTAATGTAAAAGTGCTAAGGCTATTTTTCAACGCAATAAGAGAATTTTTTATTTTGATAAAACTGAAATAAACAAAGTTAATTTTCTTAAAAGTAGGAGTGAATATTCAATTATTAAACGGGCTGTTAAACGTTCATATTATATTAAAGAGAGGTCCAAATTAAATGATATGAGTAAGAAAAGTCCAAGGAAATTTTGGAAGTACATAAATAAGTTTAAAATAGTAAAAAATCTAAATCATCAGATGTGAGTACAAATGATTTCGTAGAACATTTTAAGAATATTTCTAATACAATGCAAAATGACTTTTCATTTGACGATGTACATGAAGTGAGGTATGAGGAGGTAAACATTGATGAGCTTGATCGTCCTTTTGATGTTGAAGAGGTTACAAAAACAATTGCATCTATGAATAGGGGCAAAAGTTGCGATTTATGACAGGAATGTAGCTGATTTTTTCATCGATTCTAATAGTTTTATCTCCCCATACCTTGTTTCTATTTTTAATAAAATTTATGATTCTGGTTTATACCCAGAAGCTTGGTGTAAGGGTATAATTGTACCAATTCACATAAAAGGCGATGTAACAAATCCTTCTAATTACCGAGGTATTACCCTTGTGAATGTTATAGGTAAAATATTTTCTTTATTGCTTAGAAATAGATTGAATAAATGGTGTGAGCAAAATCATGTATTAAATGAAACACAATTTGGTTTTAGAGATAGTCATTCTACCGCTGACTGTATATTTTTACTCCATTCCATCATTCAAAAAGTGTTGACTAATAAATCGAAATTGTATTGTGCATTCATTGACTATGAAAAAGCGTTCGACACAGTTGTTAGAGATGCCTTATGGGTAAAACTTTTAAAACAAGGTGTCAGCTGTAAAATGGTTAATATTGTTAAGTCTATATATGCAAATGTTAAATCTTGTGTACAAGTGTCTGCTATGAATTTTTCAGAGTTTTTTGACGTGTCTATAGGTTTAAAACAAGGGGAACCACTCTCGCCATTATTATTTATTCTTTTCGTTAATGACATTAATGAAAATATTGGTTTTAACCTATTAACTGAAAATGACCTAAATCAGTTAAATATGTTTATGCTTCTTTTTGCTGATGATATTGCTTTATTCACAACTAACCCTGAATCTTTGCAAGCTCAGTTAGATGTTGTTAATAACTATTCTATAAAATGGGGCCTTAAAATAAATGTTAATAAAACAAAGATATGTATTTTTGAGAAAAGAAGACAAGTAAATAATTTTGTGTGGAAAATTAATGATGAAGAAATTGAGGTAGTAGATAATTTTACTTATCTTGGTGTAAATTTTACTTATACAGGGAACATGAAAAAGTCTGTTAATGCATTGTCAGATCAAGCTCTTAAAGCATATAATTCACTTTTGTCTCTTTTTGATAAAGTAAATTTTGATATAAAAATGAAGCTTGCACTTTTTGATTCTTTGGTTGTACCAATTATTCTCTATAGCTCTGAAGTATGGGGTATTTATGAATTTCCTGAAGTAGATAAAATACATATAAAATTTTGTAAACTTGTTTTGGGTGTTAAACAACAAACTCCTAATTTAGCAGTTCTTGGTGAACTGGGTAGGTACCCACTTTCTGTTATTTGTAAAGAAAGATCTATTAAATATTGGTTAAAAATAATGAAAAATCAGGATTCACCTATGTATAGATTATATTTAGATCATAGCAATGGAAATAATGTGAATTGCTGGGCGTATAAGATTAAACAACTGATTGACAATTTAGGCTACAGTAATCTTCTTGTGAATTTTAGGCAAGATGTAAATTATTTTCCTGCTATGAAACAACGTATTAGAGATCAGTTTATACAATCTTGGAATGAGACAACATTGAATATGTCTAAATTAGATTACTATAGAAAGTATAAAATATGTTTTGGTTATGAAAGATATCTGAGCATTATAAGAAACGATAAATTACGAAAATGTTTAACATGTTTCAGAATGTGTTCTCACAAGCTAGAAATTGAATTCGGAAGATTTAGTGGTTCACAAAGAGACGAGCGATTTTGTAAAATGTGAAATACAAAAATGATTGAATCAGAATATCACTTTTTATTAACTTGTCCTGCATATGTTGATTTGAGAGCTAAATATTTGGGTAATTGTTCATGGCCCAATGTACAAAAATTTGTTAATATTATGTCTTGTAGTAGTAAATGTAAGCTGTATAAAACTGCAAAATACATATATGAGGCTTTCCAGTTAAGGAAGATATGTCTAGAAATGGAAGCTGCTTCTTAAACTTTGAAAATGTACACGTTTGTTTGTATGTTTATATGCTTATCTTGTAAACTATGTATGTTATATGTCTTGGCCATATTCGTCATTTGTATTTGTTAAATTGGCCAAAGGTATGTTAAATATGCCGATTTGCCAAATAAAAACTGAACTGAACTGATTATTTATGATTATCCATTTCATTTATGATTATTTGTTTCATTTATGATCATTTGTTTCATTTGTGAGTACTCAAATGACCTTCAAATCATTATAAGTGATACACAAAAATTAAAATAACAAAAATGTAATTTGATGTCCAAAAACTAAAATTTGCCCCAAGCCAAGGAAGTGTGCACATTTATTACATCTGTACCTAGACAAGAGGCCCTGACAAATAGTCAACATGGTAAAAACTCATAGAATGTTTTACATTATAAATTTATAAAGACTTACTTAACCAATTAAGCTATTAATAAAAGAAAACATGGAAAACTGAAACCATTTGCTGGAGAGGAAATTTTTATCAGTGCATACAGTGTGTGTGATAACGTGCTGATTTTATAACTATGAAAGTACTTACTTCATGAAAAATATCAACTTATTAAGTAGGAAATAACAGTAATGAATTACAATTTTAGAATAATCAATAATTTCATCAGTCTTAAATCAATACTAATTGTTTTTCATGTTTTCAGGTGATGGCTTTTGTAAGCTTATCCTTTCAGCTTAAATCTATAAACACTGCAAACTGTTCATTTATCTAATAGTTTGTACATATTGATACCAATTTTATTTTCTGATATATAATTGATGTTTATTTCAACTAATATCTGCTATCCAGTTTTCTTAGCACCTAACTTTATAAAAACAAGGAAAGCCTTTCATTATTTTTTATTTCAATGATTATGAAATAGTGTTTCATTTCACTCCACTAGTATACATCAAATTCGGTCAAATTAAAAGTTTTCCAAAAAGCCCTCAAGCATTAAAACTGTAGTCTGACTTTCAATCATAAAGATAGATAAGGTTGAACTTAAACAGGGAAATATGAAATTGATACATACATGGATTTTATTTTAACAATTCAAATACAATAAATTCTTTAACATTTTAAGCTATATTCATTGATAAAATGATTTTTTCCTAGGACAGATGGACAGATAAACCAAACTAGTAAAAATACTTATATCCTAAAAAATGTCTACATAAACTCAAAGATCTCATAAATTAAATAAATTAAGTACAAAATTTATAAGAAATGATACTGTGTAAATCACCATAGAGGAGGCTTAAAAACATACTTTAAAACAATGAGATACTGGGATGGTAATATTATCATTAACTTTGAATGGAGTCAAGTTGTACAAGCTTTCTGGATTCGCTACCCGAATCCAACAAGTGGTCATGTCTTAACTGAGGATGTTATACAGAGGAAAGTTGAAGGGCAGAAACTAATAACGAAAAAGTTAATCATGAAAGAAGGAAAGATACCATCATACCTGGAAAGATTTACTGGAGGTGTGAGACATATTCATGTTATTGAAGAGTCAATTTTGGATTTAAATGACAAAACATTGATTACTTATACACGTAATATTGACATGCAAAATGTGATGAATGGTCACGAAAAATGTACATACAAAGTTTATCCTGCAGACCAATCGAAAGTATTGTGGGAGAGACAGATGTGGTCAGACTCAAAAATTACAGGGTTGGGTAATCTCATTACAATGTTAGGGGTAAAGCAATACCAGAAAAACTTTGAATTGTCAAAGTCTGGATTTAATTATGTGCTTAGATCAATGTTTGATCCAAACTCAATAAAGGTGCATGAAACAAAGAGAATCACCAGTAGCAAGAAAACAAACTACATTCTAAAGATATTGAAACAAATTCATTCCAAAGTTAGAGAACTTTTATTTCCTCCATATCATAAATTACTTGTGTATATCCACCCAATTCCTGATCATCAAAACGTAATCTTACATGCAAATGCTTCCTTCTGCATGTGAAGTATGGGTCATTCTATTGATTTTTTCAGTGATATTTCAATTAATTACAAGAATATCCTTGATGAAGTCTTCTTGAAGTAAAAGGATAGTTAGAAAGTCATCAACAAATCAGTGCATGCTGTGATAACAGGCATTTATGAGATAAATAATTCTGATCAATGAAAGGGATGCTGTAGGTTTAATACCATACTTTATGAAAAAAAGTTATTAATGGAGATGACTATTCAACAATTTTAAAAACATAAGCTGATAATTTCTAATTCCTATATATTTCATTATTACTTCATGTTACTATTTCAGCAAAGTTTCATCAATTACAGCACAAAAATCAGCAACTGTTAAAGGACTTTAGACATACAAAATAATAAATTTTGACAAGTAAACCAGATTTTTATGTGCGTTATATAAATGTATATCAACAGAAAATTTAAAGGAAGTATCATTCTACTATTATTGTTTTTTTCATATTTTCCTTTATTCTAAATTAAGTCTCATCTATAAAACTTTTTATATACAGGTTCGATCGGTCATGGGTTGTGTTGGTTTCTGAATTAATTAACAAAAGCAAATTTCTGGTCAGGAAGTAATTCACACATCTGTTTATCAATGATTTTATCATCAACAGATCAACTCCTTGAATGGAAAAAGTTTCTAAAAAAGCTTTTCAAGCTTCCTACTATTCCGTACTATTTATTATTTGTCAATTATCATGTAAATGTAATTTTTATGAATAAAATATTGTTTAAACTAACTCCTTGAACCACTTGTGAGATATTCATGATGTTTAGTCAAATTTTTAACATAAAATGATGAAAAGCAAAACCCACATTTAAAGGACTTCCTCTGAAAGTGAAGGTCACAGCTTAAGACATTAAGTCTTTTGTTTAACATTTTAAAGGATAGTCATGAAACTATGCTTAAATATAAAATTTTGTTGGAAATGCAATATATAGAGGATATTTGTTTGTTGGTGTGTAAGATGAAATTTTATTTCATTGAGTGGGCTTTAAAAACAGTATTCTCACGAGTGGCGTAGCCATGAGTGAGAATACTGTTTTTTAAAGTTCATGAGATGAAATAAAATTACATCTTTCACAACAAACAAACATATTTTCTTTTTATTTTATGCATAAAAACAAATTAAAACGAAATTTCCTTAATATTAAAATCTGTTTTCCCCACTGGAAGCTTCTATTAGTCGAATTTCTCATAAAATACAAGAAGTCTTGGGCTGAAAATAAGTTTGACAATCAACTTTAATGGCGGTGATATTATTCATTTTATTAAAAAGTATGATTTTAATAATAAAAAGAAACAACTTTAGTAGAAGAAAAAGTCGCACGATCCGACCTTATATCAGTTACTTACTGCAAGTTTATATTAGACCTTGCCTTGTGAAATGTAAGCTGTCGCCATTTTTCAAAGTTGTGTATTTCACGTGAGGAAAATAATTGTGTTCGATTCAGGGAGATATCATTTGGATTTGTTAGTAATATATCTTTTTAGAGGAAAGAAAACTTATTTGAGGATTGTAACAGACAATAAACAAAAGCCACTCCCGGGCAGGGCAACGCTCGACTTTTTACTCTTTCTAAAAGCAAACAAAGAGATGTTTGAACAAATCTTAAAGTTTCCTTTTTATAAATTTAATCGGTCTGTCTTGTCACATTAGTTTTGTCTATATATTTTGTATACATATATACATACGCATTTATATATATATATATATACATATTTTTATATATATATATATATATATATATATATATATATATATATATATATATATATATATATACAGTCACATTCCTCCATTTACGGGGCATCGGTCTATTTGAGACCATACTTGTGGGGTTTATATTTAATGTGGGGCATACATAAGGCCTCGCAACTCTGGCATGTTTAAAACGATGTATGGGGGCGTAGGCTACCCTTCTAACATAGTGCCCGTAGGCCGGTTTTAGTAGTAAATGATATATGTCCCACAAATGTATATATTTTTAATGGGGTTTTATGTTATTGGTCAATATGTTTTCACCTATGGTAAAATTAAATATATAGTTGATAAATAAAACTTAGTACCCCTTAGTTCTGTTGTTTGGAAATGTCATTATATGCCTACATAGTGGCATATATAAAAACTGACTGCATGAAATAATGCCACTCAACTCGGTCTTATAAATAGGCCCCGTAAGTGAAGATATGTGTGTATATATATATATATATATACGCATTTATATTATATATATATAAATATACTCTTTTATATATATATATACTCATTTATATATTTATATAAATATGCATACATATATATATATATATATATATATATATATATATATATTCACACATATCTTCACTTACGGGGCCTATTTATAAGACCGAGTTGAGTGGCATTATTTCATGCAGTCAGTTTTTATTTGTTTGGGTCGTCAGACCAAACAAATAATGGTAGCGAAATTTCAGAGTCTAATGTTGTTAATTGCAAATGCCGAAAGTAGTCCACTTTTTTGAAGCGGTTACTTCCCTTTTGTATGTACACTAAAGCCGAAAAATTCAGGGGAGATCACTGCGTAAAGATGGTCAAAGACAGGTGCATCAATTTTCAAGCAAAGTAATTCCCGAATGGTCGAAGATTTCTAATATTGTTTTATTGTATTTTCTGATCGAAAATAACTAAATACAAAGCGGACATTCAATCTCTGACACAGAAGTTTACGACTAACCTAACAACAAGTAGTTCTCAAAACAGCTTAAAACTAGCGATTTAAAAGAAAGAAATATTTTATTTTGTTACAAGTATCCAACAAATTACAACGCATTTAAAGTTAAACAATAGCGTTGGCTTATAGAATTGTCAATAAATGCACAATCACAAATTACGCGGATGATTATGATTTTATCAATGAAAATACTATATTTAGCCATGTAGATTACCAAATACTACACAAACCGAGTAGTGGAATATATAGATTCTACATGTCGGACTGTTTGGGCGAGAGGATTTTCGTTAAAATATTTACTTCAATTTTAAACAACAGGTTTACCCCGAACAAAATACCTCGAAATTAATAAGGACTACAAACCTGAATGCAATTTTCTAAAGTTCTAAATTTAGAATGACTTGATATTATTCAGACATTCTGTGTATAACTTCTCCGTGGTACAGTGGTAACGCGCTCGCTTAGTGAGTGAGAGATCTCGAGTTCGAATCCCAGTCGAGGAAAATTATTTTTGTTGTTAAATTCTTTTTTTAAGTGTTTTTGTTAAGGAAGTAGCCATGATTTACAAGGATAAAGTGTGGCTGTCGTAAAAAAGTACATAAATGATTTTTTGATGCAACTCTAGTTATGCAGAATTCCGTATGAGCCTTTCAAAATGAATTATAATACATAAAAATAAACTTATACAGGAAAATGCATACAGATATACAGTACGATTTAGATTGCAAAGATCAGAAAATACCACAGAACTTGCAGCCCTTTGATTCTTTATAAATATACATGCTTATAGTAAGCTTCAGGATTATTTACATCTGTGTTAAACAACAGTTAAAAGTCGTTTCAAGCCCTAATTTAGAATAATATGGTTTTCTTCAGGCCGTTCACATATAAATTTAACCGTTGCTGAAGGGTTTTCGGGCTCGCTTAGGAAGCGAGAGTCTGGAGTTCAAATCCCAGTAAAGGTAACTCATTTTTTTTAAATTGTTAAAGTCAAATAAACATTGGATTGAATATCAGTGTTGCAATTAGTCTTATAGCCAATTTACTACAATTAAAACACTGGAAAGCATTGGTGGCACTAAACATATAATCTCACAACCTGCACCTTTCTTACATTCTGAGACCCAAACAAATTCAGCGCCTTCTGTGCTTTGATTATATATGCCACTATGTAGGCATATAATGACATTTCCAAACAACAGAACTAAGGGGTACTAAGTTATATATATCAACTATATATTTAATTTTACCATAGGTGAAAACATATTGACCTATAACATAAAACCCCATTAAAAATATATACATTTGTGGGACATATATCATTTACTACTAAAACCGGCCTACGGGCACTATGTTAGAAGGGTAGCCTACGCCCCCATACATCGTTTTAAAAACATGCCAGAGTTGCAAGGCCTTATGTATGCCCCACATTAAATATAAACCCCACAAGTATGGTCTCAAATAGACCGATGCCCTGTAAATGGAGGAATGTGACTGTATATATATATATATATATATATATATATATATATATATATATATATATATATATATATATATATATATATATATATATATATTAATAAATAAATATAATGGTCATTTAATGCACAAATCTGTGAAATTTAAGTAATTTAACCTTCCAGGTCAGGTCATTAAAGAGCCTAAGTCAATTTGAGTTTGATAAACATGAAGGTCTTGTCCTTAAGAATATTCTGTTATAATATAAAGTCGATCTATTCAATAATAGCAAAGTTACAGCCAAAAAATTTGAAAATTTCAATAATTTGACCTTAAAAGTCAAGGTCATTTATAAGTGAAGGTCAATGTCTGTCTGGTTATTTTAAAGGACTATCCTAGAAGATTATTATGATCAAGTTTAAAGACAATCCATTCAAAAATAATAAAGTTAAAGCCAATAATAGCAAAAAAAATGACAATTCAATAAATGACCTCCAAAGTCAAGTTCAATAATGAGTGAAGGTCAAGGTCTGTCTGGTTATTTTTAAGGGATATCCTTAAAGATTATTATTTTAAGTTTGAAGACAATCCATTCAAAATAACAAAGTCACAGCCAATAAGAACAAGCAAAATTTGGACTTTTGACCTTGAAGGTCAAGGTCATTTATAGATGAAGGTCAAGGTTAGTGTAGTCTACAGAAAGGT